GTTACTTATGACGCTGTGGCTGCTACGATATTTATGAGCATCTTGCATGTACTCATATATTTGACGCTGTGTATGTACCGATGTATTTGAGCAGGGTGAATGTATCTATTAATTTGAGGACTTTTGTTATACCGATATAATTGATTACTTTTGGTGTACCTATATATTTGCATATCTTGTCTGTTACGATCTATATGACGCTGACTGTACCCACAAAATAAATTAGGGAAATAAACCAAAAAGTATTTATTTTAATAGTATTTTATTAATCAGGCTGTTAATAATGTGACCTTACATATAAGTAATTGGTATCAGCCATTTTAATAACAAGTGTTGCAAGCATATAATATAATTTCCACACTGGTACTAAATTCATCGCAAAAAAATCACGATTTTTGTACTAAAATTACACTTAAAATACAATAATATATTTGTTATATATTTTAAATAATTTTTTAATTAAAATTACCTACATAAAAGATGTAGCAAAAACATTGGCATATTGTAAATAAAGCAAATTGTTTCAAATTTTTCTTATATAATGCACATATTCATAATTTTCGAGATATATTGAATTATATATTTACATATTAATGTAGGATATATGTTAGGAAACAGAGTTAATTATATTTTATATTAGTTACAATCACAAATAACCTAAAAACAAAGTGAAACTATTCGATAATGGCAACATTACGTTGCTAAAAGCGCTACATGGTAACATTACAAAATATGCGTGCATATAAATTTTAGCGTTAAAATAAATACTTTAAAATTGACCATATTTATTGTTTCTTTCAATCATAAGACGATATTTATCAGTCTTTTTAAAGGCACCAATAAAATCGATTATTTTGTATATAAAAATAGCTGCTCAATATATTTCTTGTACATAACATTGGCACATAACAACATCACATTTATATTTATTATAATGAAATTCATATTAAGAAATACTGTTTCTACTAACATTTATATGTTAATTACTAAAAATACAATTTTCTTGTGGAAATGCAAACAGCTGTCAGTCTACTGATTTATAAGTACGTTAAACAAAAAACTAAAGTTTATTCGAGCATCTGTTACTATAAAAAAAAAAAAAACTAAAATTGTTTTTTATTTCCGACGAAATTCTAAATGGAGATAAATGCATTGATTATACGAAATTAAGCATTCAAATTAATAAAAAAAAACGGTTCAATATAACATAATTACCAAAAACATAGAATCCCGTCTGAATGATACATGATTTTTCCAAATCTGTTTTAACAACATTCCTCCAATGTCGTTGTAATCGGTTTTTATAATATTTGGAATTATTAATTATATAATCAAACTTACAATATTCTCATTGCAGTAATAATATTTATATTAATATATATATATATATATATAAGAATTAACTCGTCATATTAAATTATTGAAACTTTCGTGAGACATTATACTAAACTGATATATAAACACGGCTAAACATTCACGTATATACGTCCGGTGAGCTCACAGTGAGCTGAGGGCCTTGTCCGCGAAATAATACCAGTACCACTCATCCTGATGAAGGGCCCCCGATGGGCTCGAAACTAGTCGGTGCCGCCACCGGTCGAATATACGTGAGTGTTTAGCCGTGTTTATATATCAGTTTCGTCATATTAAGTCCAAAAATCTCAAATAATTTTATCCCCATACAATAAACTCAATATTTAATATTACAATACTCAATATTACATCAATACTGAGTTTAAAATTACAAATTGGAATCTTTTTGAATTACATTAAATATTTCGTTCAAACATATTTCATTCTCCAAAATATGTTTTCTTAATACATTCCAAATTTCCAATCGTCGATAGATTTTTATCAAATCAAAAATATTGAGTTACAATCAATATTTGTTTACTCAAAAATATTGAGTTGAGTTTTCCAATACTCGTTAAATATTGAATATTTACTGTAAGTATTCAGTGTACCCCTGTGCCCCGGTGAATATTACATCTATCCATATCCTGGCAGCTTCTCCTGAAGGCGCCATCAGATAATATCGTCTCTGTCTGGTCTTCACTATGAATGTGGTCTGAGGGTTTGGTGATTTAGAAGTGTTGCCGTGGTCTAGGTATACTTCTTCGATTACCTGATAACGTAACAAAAATATTAAATTATTCAAACTTTCGTGAGACATTATACTAAACTGATATATAAACACGGCTAAACACTCACGTATATACGTCCGGTGGCGGCACCGACTAGTTTCGAGTCCATCGGGGGCCCTTCATCAGGATTTCAACTAGTCGGTGCCGCCACCGGACGTATATACGTGAGTGTTTAGCCGTGTTTATATATCAGTTTAGTAACAAAAATATATATTTCCCTTCAAAAGTTTAAATTAGCATTAATATTGAACTTTAGCAATAATAGAAGAGAATTTCAAGGAAACAACAAGCAATAGGAATACTCAAATGCCATATGATTCAGTTTTCTTATCAGATCAGAGTAAAAATGATATGAAAAGCCAAAATAATATAAATATATGTATGCTAAGGTGAGAAGGGGCGATCGCCCAGGGCGCAGGGCGTAAAGGGGCGTCTATGGTACCTCCTAATATACCCTTTGGAAGATGTTCCCCCATCCTTACACAAAAAAGGGGGTACTTCAGGCACCAGTATTGTAAAATCCGGCCCTTATAATAAGCAGTTTGGGCTACATGAAGTTATAAGTATGGTACCTGGAAATATGCGCCACCTCTCGGCTTCTTCTCAGTCTTGTCCCAGTAGTAGACGAACGTTTTCGTCTCCCGGTCGAAAACGAACCACCTAGTCACAAATGGGGGAAAATGAACATTAATTGGCATTTGTTTGCTATTATGACGTTATAAGATCGAAATCTAAAATGATTGAGAAGAAATTATTTATTTTGTGTATGGTAACTTTGGTGTGAGAAAATATTATGATACAACGCCATCTATGTTGCAAGCTATGACTTGATCTTACTAATATTATAATTGCGAATGTTTAGATGGATGGCTGTTTGTTAGAAGGTATCTCCAGAACGGCTCAATGGATCTCGATAAAATTTGGCATACATATAAAATATAGTCTGTAAGAACACATAGACTACTTATTAAGTTTTTTTTTAATTCGCGTGGACAGAGTCCTGGGCGACAGCTAGTGATTTTATAAAATGTTACTAGCGCCATCTGTGAGTGATGTGGTGAGTTTTGGTGCAATGTGGTCACCTTTTGGACCAAGTATGGAACTTGGCCCCCAGCTTGTGCAGGTAGCCGCGACATGACGTCGAGTTTATTGTCACGTAGGGGCACAGCTCAATCTGATGACCTGCAATATTCATGCTAGAATAAATATCTTATCTTATTAATTTTATAAATGCGAATGTTTAGATGGATGTTTGAAGGTATCTCCGGAACGGCTGAACGAATCTTAATGAAATTTGTCATACATATAGAACATAACCTGGAAGAAAACATAGCCGACTATTTTTTAATTCACGGTCGATAGCTAGTCTTATATAAAGATGTTGTATGTACATACCAGCAGACTCGACATGCCTGCGCAGATCAAAGTCGTCCCTGTCGACAGGCAGGTAGCGTGTGAGCGGCCGCTGCCACTCCTGCGCAGACACACCGCGCCGACTGCGCCGCGGCGCGTTGCTGAGCGACACTGCCACAATCATATAAATTACACCTTCCATTCTGCAGATAAATTCAAACATACATCTAGATTTATTTAGATGTATGTTAGTAAGAAGGTATCTACAGAACGACTGCATGGATCTCAATGAAATTTGGCATACATATAGGACATAATCGGGAAGAACATATAGTCTACTTTTTAAGTTATTTTTTATTTCCGTGCGAACAGAACCACGAGCGACAGCCAGTATGATCTTCCCGTAACCAACAATACTATGTATATAACGGGGCGTTACAAAAGCGCCCGTGCGAATAAGAGAGAGAATCCAATATTTGTAAGTACTAAAGCACTATAGAGTTTAAACATCATCATCAGCAAGACCACACGGAGGGGCTCAGAACCATAATTTAGGGGTGATTAGACCATTATATACTAACGTATGTTATCTCTGCTGAAATCTGAAGCATGACTAAGCGGCCTGCTGTCGTCACTGCGTTTGTCATCCTCAGTGGACTCCGTACGCGAGTTGCGGACTTGAAGCTGTGGACAATACACAAGAATACAACAACAACATACCAACATAATTAACGCACGTAACCTAGAAGGGTTAGCAGAGACTACAGACCTCGACACGTAAATCACAAATATGGTCCTACAATCGAACCTTGGGGTACTCCGTAATATAATGTTATTAAAGTCACTTAAAAACCTCATGATATCATAATTTTATGATTTATTAGATATATTAGACTTAAATAATATAGGTAAATAGTCTAGAAATACAGAATATATCATTTAGAAAGAATTATACTGTGACATATTTTATCAAACGCTACATACAAGTCTTGAGAGATCTTAAATGTCTGCATATTTAAGGTACAGATCATTTTAGTATAGAATATAATTACTCAAAACGTTTAGTGAAATCAACATAGAATTTTGAGTTAAATCTTACTAATTTTACTAATATTAGGATGTTTGTTTGAAAGATTTTGATGAAATTTGAAACACATATAGAGCATTGTCTGGAAGAACACATAGGCTACTTTTCTTTAATTCCGTGCAGACGGAGTCGCAGGTGATAGCTAGATTGATCATAAAAAAGTAAACAATATCTACTTTAATAGTTCACTAAATAAAACTGTATTTCACACATGTGAAATATCGTCTATTACGATGTGACAAAAGCGTGAATCTCTTTTTATTTTGGCACAAGCAGTCTACTCGTAAAAGCAATCTGCAAATTGCCTTTGATCGCGCTTTTTTACTACATTTTAAAAATAGAATTATTTTGCTCTTTTTAAATACATGAAATATTTTTGGCCAGTCCTTTATAAATTAAAAGTAAATAGATTTATTAAATAAATTACATCGTATGTACTCAATCGACATCTTTTGTTTCCAAAAATAAAAAAATAAACATTTTGACTGATGAAATAAAACTATTGATGTTCGATTTTTAAATCCCAAAAGAAATCGTTTAATGAGAGCCAAAATTAAGAAAACATCATCATCATCAGCTCACTATACGTCCCCACCGAGGGGCTCGGAGCCTACCCTAAGTTAAGGGTAATTAGGCCATAGTCAACCATGCTGGCCAAGTACAGGTTGGTTGACTTCACACATATCTTTGAATTTCTTCTTACATATGTGTTGCATCACGATGTTTTCCTTCAGCGTAAGAACGTCGGATAAATGTCCATATGTAAATCGGAAATCACATTGGTACATGTCGGGATTCGAACCTAGGCCATGCAGATTGCGAGTCAAGTGCTTGACCCATGAGCCACCGACGCTCTTAAGAAAACGTGTACACGTCAAATTCCAAACATGGCGGCCATTACGAATTTATTTATCGTTATTTTGTAAAGAGTATGTGACAAAGTGATTATGTAACAAGCGGCTATTATAAAATTAGCATAGCTAATATTACAAAGTTATTTGAGAAAAAGTTTTTTATTAGAAATATTTAGGAATTTTAGCGTAATACGGTATATCAATTTCTAGTCACAGGCAAAACAAAACACTAGTTTGATTTTATATTCGCGGATAAAACGCGTTAAATTCGTACTAAAGAACTCCATTACCACAATTATAGCAAATAAACGAACGGATTTAAATCTTTTACGCGTTTCTATTTCGATCGAGGCAGGTCGTTAAGAAAATAACGGTTATTTTAGCAGTTTTGTACAAAAATAACGTTAACATGTTTGAAGCATCTGTGATGATGCGATTATATACTAATAAAGAAAGATTTGATTGTTTGTATTTAATAGACTTTGAAACTGCTGAAGCGATTTGGAAAATATATCACTATTGGGAAGCTACAATAGGCTAGACATAGGCTTATAGTGTCACCAACTTATCTGTGAACTGACGGGTGTCGCGGTCGTCGTTTCGGTGTTGCTAGTTAATTCCAATGTGCACAAAAGTCGGGAAAGTCGATACAGTTTTATTTACATTATTTAGTTTGTATTTACGATAAACTGCTGTGGCATAGGAATTACGTCTAAAACATACCAATATATAAATTCCAAACTCCTTGTTAAAAGACTCATCTAGATATTAGTGGTAGGTCTAAACACTGACAGTCGAATGACATTTCAACCTGTCACCGAAGTTCCTATTTTTGCCATTTTACAGATAAGTTGGTGGCACTATAAATTGATTATTAGCTTAGCCTTTATTAGCCTTCTAAAGCAGGGTGAATAGGTATTTACTAAGTAAGTGTGTACCATCCTTCGATCACATAGCCACTTGCAATCATGTGGGTTTGTGGTCAAGCACTGCTTTATTCAATATAAAAAAGAAATTATTTCTAACTTCGCGCAGTCAGAGGTAACTGCTAGCATCTTATAAGATCTTCAATTGTTTTTTTATAGACTACCCACTAGCGTTTATTGAGTAAAATAAAATCGTCATAATGTCATAAAAAAACGTCTTTTTTACCATTGTCTATATCTTCATAAAGACAGGATTGGAAAGGTATCTTACTAATATTATAAATGCGAATGTTTGGATGGATGAATGTTTGAAGATAACTCCAGAACGGCTGAATGGGTCTCGCTGAAATTTGGCATAGATATAGAACATAGTCTGGAAGAACGCATAGGGTACTAATCTTTCGGCGCAGACGGAGCCTCGGGCTACAGTTAGTAATTTATAGATTTGACGGCAACGATACTTTCTACCTATCTCCTCATATGTATTTCATATTCTTGTGCCTCTATGACACTCTTAAATACAAATATAATGACACCTTACTCTCCAAAACTAGGTTAGGTTAAGACTAACAGACTGTCACAATAAAATATATATATCCACATAAAACTATCAAATTAAAATTCTCCAATCATAAAACGTAAGTAAATTTTCCAAAGAATCTTTCTAATGTGTACATTAGCTTGAGCTTCATTGACGTAAGTCTTTTCTTGCTGTTTTGTGGTTATTTTGTTTTGTCCCGGATGTGAATTCTTTACACGATGAAACATTTCTTACGATCACATGACGTAAATGTTTACATGGGTCACATGAAAACAGACTTACTTGTGGTCACTATTTTAAGATATTTTTAAATATAGATCAATGGTAATGTAAAAATAATTCTGTCTGAAATTCGATTGAATCGTATAATTTTGATTACTTTTAGTAAAGAAATAGATTTGAATAGTCGTACGGATTGTATAATAGCATTAGCTGCACAAATGGTCCACTCAAACTGTGCCATATAATGACCACACAGAAGACACTTGGTTGGTCTTGGTTGTCAAGTGGAAGCAATTCCACATTTTGTCTGATGAGTGTGCGTGCCTGAGACTTTATTTTAGTCCTTTCATCATTATCATCATCATCGTCAGCTCATTATACGTCCCTACAGAGGGGCTCGGAGCCTACCCTAAGTTAAGGGCGATTAGGCCATAATCAACCACGCTGGCCAAGTGCGGGTTGGTTGACTTCACACATACCTTTGAATCTTTTTAGATTTGTGCAGGTTGCATCACGATGTTTTCCTTCACCGTAAGAACGTCGTGAACGTACATATGGAAATCGGAAATCGAAAAACACATTGGTACATGGCGGGATTCGAACCCAGGACCTGCAGATTACAAGTCAAGTACTTGACTCTTGAGCCACCGACGCTCTTTTTCTTTCCACAATTTTCTTATAAGGTAATTATGGAAAGGGAAAGTAGATTGGACGGAGGAGGGCACTCATAGAAAGAGAATAGTACCCCCTCCGTTGATTTAAGGTAAACAACGCATCTACAATTGCGGCTGTCTATAGAGACAGTCGCTTGGCTATTAGTCGAAAAAATATGACGTCTAATAAATATGAAAGTGGAGTACTCTGCCGACCTTACGTAGGGAATGTCAGGATGATGTATACTTACGAACACAGGTTTGCTCGGACACGTAAGACCCCAGCGAGAACTTTTTATAAGCATAAGCCACACAGACATACTGTTCATTCACATTTATATATACACTTTTTATGCTAATTTCATATGTACTTTCCTAAAATTTATACTGCTTTTTTAATAAATCGTGAAAGGTATGCCAAAATTATAGACCGTTCAAGAAATCTAAAGATGCATAGGGAACGTAAGACTTTTTTTTTAAATTTCACTCATACAAAATTATGGGCAACGAGTTAGCGTGGAAATAATTTTAAAAATAGTTCATACTTCTTACTAATATTGTAAATGCGAATGTTTACATGGATGTATGTTTGAAGATATCTCTAAAACGGCTCTATGGATCTCGCTGAAATTTGGTAAAGATGTAGAACATAGTCCGGTCGGACGGTGTCGCGGACGGCAGCTGGTTTCTTAAATATATCGACAAAGTTATCGTAAAGTGTTTGGTGTACACAAATTTTAAATGATAAATAAACATATTTCTTTCATTTTACATTGAAGTGTTTTTGTTATTATTTGATGAGTTATAGTATACGGTAACAGCTGTTTTAATAAAATCTTTTATCTGATCATAAAAAAGGTTTATTTTATGAGTTAAGGGCAACTGAATATTCGGCAAGAGTTTGGCATAATGCCACTTGGGTAGTACAAATATGATTTTAAAAATAGCTAAATTGCTTTAATAGGTTAAAGAGCAACTTAATTGAAATTACTGATACATAGTTGAGTAATCATGTGTTTCTGAGACTAAAATCTGTATAAAACTCTGTAAAAATCTCTGTCATTATCATTGATAAAATAGAGATATCAATATGTTTTATACGATGATTTTTGGTCTCGGAAACCCACGGTACGAGATTTGAACAATGCTAATACATTCACAATATGCGAATATTTGGATGGATGTTTGTTAGAAGGTATCTCCGCAACGGCTACATGGATCACGCTGAAATTTGGCATACATGTAGAATATAATCTGGAAGAACACATAGTCTAATTTTTGAGGTTATTTTTAATTCCGCGCGGACGTAGTCGCGGACGACAACTAGTCTATTGTAGACGCGATGTCGCAGTTTAAGAGGCAATGTCAAGGTTGTTTGTGGCTGAGAATACACGTAGCTAA